AATTTGTACTGCACTTTTCATTAACAAAAATCTCAAAGTGCTACAAAAACAAAAAAACTTAGTGCTTACAATTACTTTTTGATAAAACTTTCAGTGCTTTAGAATTAGGGGACCTAAATATCTGAGTTAGTGCTTTAGAATTAGGGGACCTAAAAATCTGAGTTAGTGCTTTAGAATTAGGGGACCTAAATATCTGAGTTAGTGCTTTAGGGCTAGTAAAACTAATATTTAAATTAGTGCTGCCCACCACTGCTGAAAACACAACAGCCCCAGTTTGAACCGGAGCTCTGCTGTAGTTCAGCCTCCGTCCATCGGGGGCGCTGCAGGTGTTCAGAACGCAGCGACACTCGCGCATGCGCAGTGTGTTCCACCAGCGGCAGTATGGCGGCCTGTTTGGACAGATGAAGGCAGTGAAATCAGAGCTGATCTGAGATCAGGGRCAGATGGATTCAGTCCAGGAGCGACTGGCCGAGTTCTCCCTCGAGGCTCGCGGTGAGACACCGGRACTCAGGGCTTCGGTACCGGAGCTAGAAACACACGGTACCGGTCCACCTGTACATGTGTTTGTCTTCGGATCACAGTGATCGGGTTCTGTTTGCCTCCCAGAACTTTACCTGAACAAATCGGTGCCATATGTGGACGGAGCGCCGGAGCCGCTGCAGTTCTACCGGGACTGGATCGGACCGAACAAGCCCTGCATCATCCGGGACGCGTTGAGCCACTGGCCGGCTCTGTCCAGGTGGACTCCGGACTACCTCAGGTAACAGTACCACCTGTGTGTGAGGCTTTATCCAGAAGTTATCAGCTCCTCCATCACAGGAGGGAAACATGGAGACATTTTTATCTTTACTAATAATAAATCTGACAGCAGATTCCTGAAGATCATTATAAACCTAAAATAAGAGGTAAACCCTGAGATGATCTTCAGTCTGAGGGAAGTTCTTGTTGTTCAGGTGAAATCAGCTCATGTCTTCTTGCTGCAGTTCACACAGAACCAATGGGATCATTTCACCTGGTTCTGATCTGGTTTTAATCAGAACTTCCTCAGTGTTTAAGACGTCACCATGAAATGTTAGGAAAAGATTCACATTCTGGGTTTTGTAGAAGCTTCTTGTATCTTAAAAACTAATAAAAGATTTAAAAAGTTTTCTAATTAAAAACTTAGTAAAATCCAACGTAGCAGAAAATGTATAAAATAATATCACAAGACAAACTGCAGCATGAAATCAACTTAATGTTGTAGAAAGTAAGGAAATTAAACCCATGTGGACATGTGTTTAGTAAACAAAGCTGCTGAACCAATGACAGCGGGTTAAATGTGTCAGGTGATGAAGACCAGCATCAACACACTTTACTAACAAACTAACAGATCAAATAATGTTCTTCATGACAGCTCATCTCTTTAAGGGTCACTTTAGAAAAACTCATGATTTACTTTGAGCCTATTTTTTAAAACTCACGAACAAAAATAAAAGCGTGAAGACGAGGCTGTAGCTAACGACGTGACGTCAGCACGCTTTGTTGAAACTCAGAAATAATAAACACAGAGCAGCAGCTGCTGACCACAGCTCTACATCTCTGCATCCTCCTCACTCTGCAGCCTTGTTGTTGTTGACTTTTACAGGAACAAACAAACATTATTTATAAACGTGTGTTCTGTCTGCAGGGAGAAGTTGGGGTCAAAGGTCATCAGTGTGGCCGTGACTCCTAACGGCTACGCAGACACCGTCTCAGGCGATCGGTTCTTGATGCCAGAGGAGCGACAGATGAGCGTGTCCTCTGTGTTGGACATCATCGAGGGAAAGGTGAGACAGCAGGAGACGGGTCGGGTTGGGCTGGGCCTCCTGGTTCTGACGGCCTGCTGGACCCAACTTTTCAGGTGCAGAAAACTGGAGTCTTCTACGTCCAGAAGCAGTGCTCCAACCTGCTGCAGGAGCTGCCCGAGCTCATGGAGGACCTGGAGGCCCACATCCCCTGGATGAGCGCAGCGCTTGGTGAGTGGACGCTACCGAGCATGCTCAGACCAGTGGACGCTACTGAGCATGCTCAGACCAGTGGACGTTACTGAGCATGCTCAGACCAGTGGACGCTACCGAGCATGCTCAGAGCAGACCCGTTAGAATAAATCAAACTGCTGATATTAAAGTGTGTGAACTGTTTCATCTGGTTTCTGATGACTGGACTCCTGCAGACCAGCAGATGGGGATCAGTCCTCACCTGGTTCCTCTTCATCACAATCGGTCAGAACCGCTTGTGTAAAATGTGTCCAGGTGAAGTAGGAGGAGGTCCTGCAGGAGGAGGTCCTGCAGGAGGAGGTGCTGCAGGAGCGTCGCTGCATGTCACACTCTGTTATTAACAGGACACGTTGTTCTCCTGCAGGAAAACAACCAGATGCTGTGAACTTCTGGCTGGGAGAGGCCAGCGCCGTCACGTCCAGTAAGTCCTCAGCCTCAGAGTACACTGCTCATAAAACTTTATTTTTAATGCTCAGAGTACACTGCTCATAAAACTTTATTTTTAATGCTCAGA